TAAAGATGTTTAGTTAAACTACCTCATAATTAACCAAATAAATGTAAAATTTTTAAGCATTTTTGTTTTATGGATATTTGGCTCCATTTCATTGCTAACCTAACGTTTTTGCAAGTAAATTTAAAATTTAAAATGAGGTACTTACCCAAAATAATCAAATGTGCTAAGGCATCTTCTAAGATTTTTTCTAACCCACTCATCTTTTGCACACTAAAACCGTTGACCATTCGAAAATATAAACTTAAAATTATATAATTATTACTAAACAAATATAAAAAACTAATTATATCACAATAAACTACACTAAATAACAAAACTTTTTATATATAACTTATAACTAAATTCTTAAATAAAACTATTAAAAATTAATTAAATAAGTTGAAATGAATTGTAACGCGTGTAGCACCGTAGCACGCCCGCGCCATCTTTGTTTTATTAGTATTATTACGTGTTAAATTCAAATATGGCACCTTAAGTAAAAATAATTTTTTTTTTTTTTTTGAAAAAGTGATTGACGTTTCGACCTTTTAATTAATTTAAAGACATAAATATTATTTTTTGGAGAAGAAAAAAAAAGAAAATCGATAGTGTCATCTGCTTTTTTTTAAAATTATTCCTTTTAATTTTCAATTAATATTAAAAGATTAATTTTTCGACTATCATTTATTATTAAACATTAATTAAAATAAAATAAGTAATAAATAATTAATACCTCCCTATTACGCCGCACTCCCCCCGACTTAATCGGGTACTTAGACCCCCCGACGACCCCCTTTGCTCCTCCTTTGTTCCACAGGGGACCACGCCACAACTCCCATCCCTCCCCAACAATAAAAATTCTCAATTTTTTTTCCTCCAGTTTTTCCTATAGGATTTTTTATTTTTAAAACGAATTTCCTGGAAAAAATTAATTTTGATATTCAATAACATTATAATTATTTATTGTTTTCCAGAATCGTCCCCGAAAATTCGGGTTAAATCATAATCATTTTTTTTTTTTTGTGCTCGCGTACTGGATAAAAGATTATTAACGATCGATCGATTATAATCAATTAAATAAAAGGGATAATCAATCATAAAATTAGGATAAATTAATTGTGTTTTCATCAAATTTCAAGGTCATTCCTCCATTCATAATTTTCTCTTTTCGAATACCCCAAAAAATCTGGAAACGTAAAAAAAAATTTTCCCATCCTTTTGTTTTTCTTTTTGTTTTCATTCCTGGAAAAAATAATAATAGTAATAAACATGGCGGAAAATTTTTAACGGAAATTTATGTATGCTTAAAATTAGTTAAACTATTTTTATTAATTTATTATCCGAAATTATAATTTTAATTAATTTTATTATTATCATTATCATTATTATTGAACATTGTTTTGTTATTAATGATAATAATAATAAATTTATTCCTTGTTTTTCGAGAATATTCCATTCGAGTCGTGTGTGCGTACGTTTGGTTCCCGAATTTTAATCTTCTTACACGAGTTTCCAATATTTTCAAGAAGACGAAGAAAAAGGGATCGTTTCCGGTTTTTTAAATATTATTATTATTATTATAATCGTTCGATAAGGGGGGAAAAAAAAATTTTAATAAATTAAAATCGTATAATAAATTTTATTTAAGTAGGTAATTAAGGATCAATGATGTGACGTCAAGAATAAAATGGCGGTGTCGGTGACGTGAAAGGTAAAAAAGAGGAAATAGGAAGGAAGATGTCGGCACAAAAAAAAAGAAAAATTATTTTCACTTCCGGTTATTTGATTCGTCGTCGTCGTGTTTTTAATTAATCTCATCTTTCGGTTTAATTTTTTTTTTTTCCGACGGCAAAAAACAAAAAAATTTTGGAATTTTCTCTCCATTTTTTTTTTTTTTGCTCATTCCAGGAAGTTTTTTTGTTTTTGTCATTTTCCTCTTTTTCCGCTCCTGATTTTACCGATTTAATTACAACAATTAAATAAATTATTAAAAAAAAAAAAGTCATTTTATTTAAAGATAAATAATTTCTCTGGAAAAAAAATTTCAAAAAAAAAACTGGAAAATAAAAATCAAATGGAAAACGTCGTTAATTTGTTATCATTATTATTATTAATTTATGGGTTTTGAAAATTACACGACGACGGCGACAGGGGACGGGGGCGGCGCCTAAATGACGACAATTTCAATTTCTAGTTACACGTTCATTAAAAATTATTATTATTATTATTAATACGCGTTGGTTTTTAATTATTTAATTAAAATAAAAATTAATTTTTTTTTTTTTTTTTTTATCATTTGCAGATGAGATGATTTATAATTTTTTTATGAATTGACACGACGACAGTGCAACCAACTTAAATTCAATTAATTAAAGTTACCAACGTTTGAAAAGTTTTTTTTTTTTTTTTAACAAATAAAAAAAAAAAAAAAAAAAAATTGTTTTGCTTATAATGAGCCCGAGCAAAACAATTTTTTTTCCCCTCATTTTATACACACACATATATATATTGTTTGTTCCTTCGTTCGTTCGTTCGTTTGTTTGTTTGTTTGTATATTCAAAAAAAAAAAATTTTGTAAAAATTTTATTTTAAATAAATAAATAAATACATATATATTTATTATTTATGTTTCTTTTTTTTCTCCTAATAAATATCGATCGATATTATTTTTTCCTCTTTTTCTTTTTATTATCCTTTACTTCCGTCTCCCCTCCCCTTCCCCCTTACCCTCCCACCCCATCATTATCATCGAATTTGATTATTATTTATAAACAAATAAAAAAAAAGTTCCAGGAAAATTCATTTATACATTTTTTTTCCTACCGCTCATTCACCGATCATTATTAATTTACGTTTCCAACATGGCGGCTTTTTTTTTATTTATTAATAATTTAAAAAAATAATAATGATAATGACTTGATATAAATCAATCGAAAGGTTTACAACAACAACAACAAACAATCATCGTAATAATTAAAAAATTTGTTTTTGTTGTTCTTTATATATATATATATATATATATATATATATATATATATATATATATATATATATAAATATTTTAAAAACATTAATTAATTAATTATTAATTATTTATTTATTTATTATTCTAATTTTATTATTTTATTTTTTTACAACACATTCAAAGAAAAATTCGAGAGAGCAGTTATTATTATTATTATCATTATTATTCATTTCCTTCATTATTAATTATTATTATTCATTATTAATTAATAAATACAAATTTTTTTTTTTATTTACTACTTTTCTTTTATTTTCTTCGATATAAAATTTTTTTTCATTTATTTATAGTATGTATATATTTATATATATAAAGATGGTGAAAATTATTATTATTATTATTATTATTATTATCATCATTATTATTAATTAAAAAATTTATTAAACAATTAAAATAAAATAAAACAAAATAAAATTTTTTTCACATTCAATTTTAATTATTTATTTATATATATATATAAAGTGTATAAAATTATTTAATTTCCTATGAACGACGATTTTTTATTAATATTAATAATAATAATAATAATAATTAATAATAATAATAATAATAATGAATCGATTCGAGTGATAAGAAAAAAAAATTACCTTTAATTAATTTCAATTAAAGTTTAGAATTAATTATTTAAATAAATTGTTAATTAACAACAACATATACATATATATATAGTTAACTGTGCGATAATAACCAAAATAATAATAATAATAATAATAATAGTAATAATAGTAATAATAATAATAGTAGTAATAATGGTAAACAAAAAAATTAATTATTTTATTTTGTAATCATTCATCGCCTTATTTTTTTCTTTTATTTTTTTCACGTATTTATTTAAAAATTTAAATAATGATAATGATAATAATAATAATAACCTACTCATTTAAATTTTTTTTTTTTTTTTTGGGGGGGGGGGGAAATTTTTAAAATACAAATAATGATTAAAAACTTAAAAAATGAATTAATATACATTTATATATATATATACCTTTTTGTTTTTTTTTTTTTTTTTTTTTTTTCATTTTTAAATCGATGAAACGATCCATCAAAATAATAATAATAATGATAATAATAATAATAATAAATAACAATAATTTAAACAATTTTTCTTTTTTCTTTTTTTTTTTTTAAATTTATTTACTTATAAATTAATATTATTATTATTAGTATTATTAGTATTATTATCATCATCATCACTATGTGTTGCTGCGTTTATCCACTCTCTTTCCCTTTTTTTTTTCCTCGCCTATTTCCCCCCTTCCCTCCCCATCCTTTTTAAATTTTTTTTTTCTTTGTCGTTTTGAAGTTTTCGGTGATATCCACAAAAGCCCTGGAAATACAAAAAAAAAAAAAAAAAAACTTTAAATCTCGTTCGTCCAGGGTTATAATGAATTTCCCTTTTTTTTCCGTCGGTAATGATAATAATAATAATAAATCACCATATTTGTATTTATTTAACGGTGACTCCATAGATGCGGAGGCCAAGTCGGCGGAGCCATGACTTGACCGTTTTGATGATGGTCTCATATGGGCGTCGGAAGTAGTGTGAAGTCTTGAAGTGCGGATTTGACCGTTTCGTAAAGGGGCCTTTGAGTGTCGTCGGCGCAATACCCGTCGGCCGTGCACAGGGTTTGTAATTTGGTTATGTAATTGTCTAAATTTTCGTGCGAGGGTTTTTCTTGCGTTCCCGGTATCCTCACATGTTCCAAAAGACTCATCACGTTATTTCTCAAACTCTCGTAATATTCGTTCAAATTGTTATTCCTTTGCGACAACGCTTGACTTTCCTACAAGAAAAAAAAAAATTCTTTCATCCCCACACGTCATCCTCTTACATATTAAAATTTTTTCCCGCGTAAAACCTCTCTCGCGATTCGACAACATAAGGTAATACAAACGAAGCCAAACATATCCTTAATAATAATAATAATACTAATAAAAAAAATTAAAACAAAAGTAATGACCCAACACAAAAATATCTTATAATAAAATAAACGATTTATTTATTTATTTCTTTTCTTTTTTTTCTTATTAAACTTTTTATTTTCTCTCTCTCTCTCTTCAAATCAAAAATTTTTTTTTTTGTTTTCAAGAGAAATTTAATAGCACTATCTCTTACCGAAGAAAAAAAGACGGTGCCAGAAGATATTGAGAGAAGATATTTCCACTTCCGTGTGTGTGTGTTGAGTCAATACCTTTACATGTGATGAATATTTCCCCGATATGATTTCATCATCATTGCAAACGATTTCTAAAAGGAAATGGATTTGTTATATCCAGAGAAGGTGTGTGTGTGTGTCTGCACGTGTTTTTTTTTTTTTTACATATGTACGTGTGTGTTTGTGTGTTTGTTCGTGCTCACAGGAGTGATGAAACTTGTAAAAAAAAAAAATGTCTTTGTACATATATGCAAAAAAACTCACCTTGTCCCCTTGTCTCAAATGTGCTTCCATGGCGCTTATATCCGTTCTAAGTCTCATCATTTGAGATTCGACTCTTGCGTTTTCACGTTGAAGCTCTGATATTTCCGCTTCGAGAGTTATTAAATCTTCACCACCGGGTCCTACTGTGCTCCCTTGACTAGGTTCCAACCCTGATTGAAATCAAATCGAATTATTACCTACTTTTTTTTGGGGGGAAAAAGGGAAAACGCGGGTTTTTTTCTTCTTTTTCAAACGAAATAAATTCTACTGTATCTACTAATCACGGGAAATTATTATTATTATTATTTAAATATTAAATACTAACCGGTTTTCAAATAGTGAAATAATCGTGATTTTTTCATCACAACAACAACAACAACACGACGATAAAAAAAAAAAACAAAACAAAACAAAGCAGAAAAATAATTTTAAAAAAAAAAATGTTTGATTATATTCAAGAACTTTCGACTACTTGAAAACTTTTTTTTTTTTTTTTAATAATTTTTTAACTTGATTAAAGTAAAAGTTCCTCCCCTCCCCCCCCCCAAAAAAAAAAAAGAAAAGAAAAAACAACAACTCACCGCACGATTTCGTGTAAATGTCATCAGAACAAAATTTTTTCTTTTGAGTTTGTCCGGCCACCGGACATCCGGACAAAGACCTGTGAGTTAAAAAAGTTCCGTTAATGTGTCCAGTGCCATCGCATCCGGGCGTCGGACAATTGGTGCCCTCAAATTTAACAATCGGTTGCGACAGGGTGGTCTTGTGCTGTTCGACGGGTCCTCCGCCATTTTCAAGAACTCTTAATTTGTTACGGTTGGCTATCGGACAACCCGAAGCACTGTAAATTATAAATTATTATTATTATTATTTGAATTATTATTATGATTACTTTTAAAATATTTAAACCTTTTTCCCTTTTATTTCACCATCCACCGGTCAAATATTCTTTTTTTTTTAATAAAATAAAAAAATAAAAAAATAAATAAAAAATAAATAAAAAATAAATAAATAAATAAAAAAAAAAAAAAACGGATGTTATACCTTCTGTGAGTGGTATATTTTCCAGTTATATGACCGGCTCCGTCACATCCAGGCACGGGACACCTACATTACAACAAAAAAACAATTAAATAATCAATTGAGATTACCTTCTATGTGATAGAAACTTTCCAGTCGCGTGTCCAGATCCATCACAACCAGGTATAGGACATCTGAATGCATGCGCAAAAAATTTATTTCCTTTCATCATTACAAATCAATTTTTTTTTTTTTTTTTTCACTTTCCCGACAAAAAATCCAAACGATATAAAAAAAAAACCTCTTTTTTTTTTTTAGGGGGGGGGGTGAAATATTATAGTTGGCAAGTAATAAAAATAGAACATGTTATAAACTTGATGGTAAATTATATATATATTAAATTTAATTATACCTAAGTGGTTCTGAGTCTTGACCGTCCCGAGGCTTACTTTTAGGCTTATTAGCCCTCGGACAACCAGATAAACTCCGATGCGAGGAATAATTTCCAGTTACGTGTCCTGAACCATCACAACCAGGCGTGGGACATTTTAACTCCTGAGAATGTGCTTGAATTTGACTTCTATCAGCTCTAGGACAACCTGAAAGACTAAAAAAAAAATAAAAATTTATTATTAAGTTACCTTCTGAACAAAAAAAATTTCTAGCAAAACACAACATGTGTTAACATTTATCTAATTATATATATATATATATATAAAAAAAAAAAAAAAATTATTAATTAAAAGCTGGCAAAAATTATAGTCACTTTGTTCTCGACAAATAAATAAATAAATAAATTGAAATAAATAATAAATTTCAATTTATTTTATTTTATTATGTAATTCCATCTACTGATTTTCGAACACTATGTGTGTTCTAGGGCAACCACGCTACACCGAAGGCAAGCTAACAATTTATTTATTTATTTTTTTTCAATAAATAAACTAAATTTTAATAAACGATTAAAAAAAACAAAACATATAAACATAAAAGCAAAAATAATATTGAAAATGTCTTTTAAAAAAACTCATAAGATGTCACTTGTATGTATGTAAACACTAACAATAAATCGAAACAAATATTCAGGTTTATACATTTATGTAAAAAAAAAAAGGGGGGAGGGGGTAATTAACAATTGTCTGTTTGTGATGCCTTTATAAAAACATATAATTTTCAAGCTATGAACATAATCGAACAAAGACTTGTTGTCTTGCCTTCTATGGGTAGCATAGTTGCCTGACATGTGACCCATTCCATCGCATCCGTTTGTAGGACACTGTATCAACTCCTTTCCATCCCTACCCTGTTGTGAACTCCGAGAATATGATAATGATTGTCTTCTAATATTATTACTGTAGCGAGAAAAATTACTTTTCACTTTCAATAAATAGTACTGATAATAATAATAATAATTTTTTTAACTAGCGACATTATGCTAATTGAAACGACTACAACACTAATAAAAATCGATAAAAATGTGGTTTGGTAATGGCAACCTTTTACAGGCTACTTTTCTCCCTTTTATTTACCAATATATATAGCTCTAAAGTATTTCAATTAAAATAAAACTTAAATTATTAAAATAAAAAATTATAGACATTAAATAATAAAAATAATTCCATACTAAAATCGACATCTAATTTGAAATTTTTTTAACATGAGGACAACAAAACTGTGAATGTTGAAAGGTATGTCCAACAACAGTCGATCATTCAATGCAGGTAGTTTACAGATAAAAAACCTTTTTATCTACCTTACAATTAAACTACCTGAGAGAATAAAAATCATAACTTTATTCATTCCACAAAAATAATACCATGATGATTAAGTGACTTAAATTTTACCACTTGAGAAAAAATTATTAATTTTCTTTTTGTTTTTTAATACCACTTACCTTGAATCAGAATCAGAAGATTCATTTTGAGATCTAACACTTTCAGTTGCCCCAATATCTTCAGGAGACACTGAAAGTTGTTGCAATAATTTTTGCAAAGCAATTTGTTCGTTTTCGTTTTCGAAAACGAAATTAGCTTTTTGTATTTCCATTATTTTTAAATATGAGCAAATCGATTTATTTTATTTAAAAACGATTTAAATTAATAACAAACACTTGATAAAATTCAAATATTTTAGTGTAATTTAAATTATTTTTAACAAAAAAAATTAATCAATAAACTATTATAAAACCTTCAGTTAATATAAAAAGAAAAAAAAAAAAAAAAAAACAACTTTACATTTCTACTGTTGTTATGCTTGAGCCACCGCCCTAACAAAATTAACTAGATTATCGATCTGGTGATCTGCGCATTGCGTCACTCCATAGAGTAAAAATATTCCCGGGTTATAAAAACTTTATAAATAGTTATAAATAATTTTTAAAATTTTTATTTTTTTCAAAAAAAAAAAAACATTAATCCCAACGTCAATTATAAATTACGTTCTCCAATCCCTTAAAAAACTTTTTTAAATATTAAGTATCGTGTTTACCATTTCATGTTTTAATAATAATTACTTTTTTTTTCATTTATTAAATATTTAAAAATGCTTAAAAAAATTGTTCAAAATTTTATTTTGAACAATTGCAATTGTAGTTAATAACAGTTATTGAAATTATAGTAATTGATGTAACTAATCAATAACAAACCAACAGTTGTTATTATCTTTTGAACATAAAATTTTAAATAACTTTAATAAAATAAATAACATGCAAGATAATAAATGCAGAAGATGAAATGGTAAAGAAATATGAAGAAATAAAGTATGGCTAAAAGAAAGTGTTAACAAAATTAGTCTTTCAAATGTCTTTAGACTCACAAGGAATATTAGTTGTGTTATTTTTCACTCAATTAAAAGGTAAAATATAAAGATTACTATGGTCTAAGTGAAAAGCAACATTAAAAAAATTTATGATTACTTGTTGCAATTAATAAAATTTAAAGTAATTTACCTGTCTTCCTTGTGTCCTTTTTCAGTATGAGGAGGAGGATGTTGAGGAGGAGCCATACTATAGCATGGATTCTGAGCATATCCAGCAGAATAAGTAGAAGCAACAACACCACCTGGGTATCCACCACACGGATATGATCCAGGATAAGGAGTGTAACTATTGCCTGGATATTCACCAGTCATGCCGTATCCAGGATGAGGACTCATTGGAGTATAACCTAAATTAATAATAATAACATTACAGGTAAATTTACTTCTTTCAAATAATAATAATTTCTAGTTTTGTATGTCATTTAAAATTGAATGAAAAAAAAAAAAAAAAAAAATGTTTACCGTTACTTTCTCTATAAGAATCCATGTAATGAGATCCACCACTATCGGGTGTAGATTCTCTACTATAACAAGCAGTTGGAGGAGGCACGAATCCATGTGGAAGCGGTCGTGCACCACTAATATGAATAATAATAAAAGAAATATTAAAAAAAATTGAAAACAAATTAAATAAAAAAAAAATTAATTAATAATTAAAAAAAAAAGAGGAAGAAAATTAAAAAGAAAGGGGTTTTACAAAGTCTTTATTATTGCTTAAATAAAATCTCTGGACTGGAATTTTTTTCCCCCCCTTTTTTTTTTAGTTTTTTTTTTACAAAAAGAACTTTTTATTTTAACTTTTAGTCAATTGAGAATGACGGGAAAAATCTGGTAAAAGAAAAATCTATCCAACCGTTTCTAAATGGAGTTTTCACTTAATAAAACCTTTAATACAAGCTTAAAACACGCGCTTGAATAACATAAAGAAGTTAAAAAAAAAAAAAAAAAAGGTTCTCCAAAATCATTTCTTTCAGTTTTTTTTTTCCCTAACCTTTTTCTCTCTCTGGAAAAAAACCTTTTTTTTTTTTTTTGTAACTTTATCGTGAACACAAAAAAAAAGAGAGAGAGAAAATTTGTTAGTGACAAGAAGATTCAAAAAAAAAAAAAAAAAATTTTTTTAAATCAACTAAGCATTAAAATAAAATGAATGAATTTTTTCCTTTTTTTTTTTTCATCCCCAAAACGTTAAATTAATTTTTTTAATTAATTTAAACAAACAAACAAACAAACAAACGTACGTTGTGGGTACTCTTGCAACACTTAAATCTAACGTTTGTCCTTGTGGACTTGGAATTTCTGGACTTTCACCAGTTCCTCTATGAGGACTCCTGCAACCGTGTGGACTCCCACTTGATACTCTTTGATTGTAATAACCAGGGGCCTGTAAATAAATAATAATAATGATAATAATAAATTGTAATTTTTAATATTTTCAAAAAAAAAAAAAAGGAAATAGAAAGAAAAGTTTTTGCGATAAAACCTAATTAAAAGTGAAAAATGTCCCAAACGAGAAACTCTTAATTTGTCTTGGATTAACAAACACGATTATTTCTAATCTTATATTTAGAACAAAGAGAAAATTCCTTCTTTTCATTTTCATCTTCCTCTTATTTAATTTAACCTTTAATATCATTTGATTTTTCTTCTCTTTCCTTTTCTTTTCTTTCCTTTTTTTTTAATGCCCTTAAGCATTTTTGGTTTGTCGTTGATTTAAAAAAAAAACTTTTCCTCAAAGATATGATATAATAATATATATACATATAATTGTAAAATTAAATGATATTTTTATAAAAGGAAAAGATTATTATTATTATTTAATAACAAGATAAAAGACTTATTGAATGTATACCTGAGGGCTCGTGGACGTCACGTTCGATGTAGACAAATCTATAACGCTTCCACCGGGTGATGTCGGTGCTCCTCCTTTTAATTGACCCTGGGCTTGTGCAGCAGCAGCGGCAGCTGCCGCTTGAGCTTGAGCAGCGGCTTGTGCCGCTTTAACAGAAAGATTTATTGCGGCTGCCGAAAAACCAGGTGGGACCGCACCCGTGGTCGGATCGTAGTGATGATACATGGGCCGAGGATAAATAGGAGCCGTTGCACCTGTCGCATCCGAATCGGATATCGATACGGTTTTCATTATACCCGAAGACGTCATGTTCGACATTTGATGATCTTGATGATAACTTCTATCGTCCGTTTGACCAGGATACCCTGCGTATAACCGTTGAGTTTGTCCGATTCCGGTGTTACATTGCGTGGAATCGTATCGATCGTAGCTGCTACCTGGATCGTACGGACGGTGTCCGAGCGTCGAATCGTAATTCCGATTTATTTCTCCCGGATAACTCACCATGGGTCGCGTTATCGAAACGGGATGATTTTCCGACGTGAGATACGATCTATCTCTAAACGTATCTTCGGAAGTGGTCACGATTTCTGAATTTTCATAAGGAGATCTTTGCGGTAACTGATGAGGAGGATCTACAAGAGACATCGAAGTATACGGTGGAGGAGGTTGAGGATGGTGAGGAACCGGTTGGTGTGGAGGTTGATGGGGTATGTGGTGGCAACCCGACAATTGTGAACCCGCTCTCGAATTAATCGTGTCCATACTCGACACGGACGAAGAATTAGAATCTTGATTTAAATACGAATCAAATGTCTTTGGAGGGGGAGGTGGAGGAGTGTTGGAACCACCACCACCACCTTCGGATTTAATTATCATCGAATTATTACGAACTTCAACTTTCGGTGATAATTTCATTATTTCTTCTGTTTTAACTAAAGGTTTATGATTATAATAAGGACTCGATGTGTAACTTGAAGTCATCGGCGACCTGACATTTTCAGGTTCTTTCGCATAACTTCCAGAAAACGTTTGTTTCGCTTCGGATGATGACGTTATCGCATTATTCGGTGACATCAACGTTACTTTTTGATTGAACAAATTTTGATTATAATCGTTTTGACATCCAGGCACTAAAAAAAAAAAAAACAGAAAAATAAAAAAACTTTTACTCAAACTCTATTTCCATAACGAATTAAACAAAATCTTTAAACCTGAAAAAACAAAAAAATTTTCTTGATGGACTTCTTGTACCTGGTAATAAAGAAGAGGAGGCCACTCTTTGTTTTTGCTCACGTAAGACCTGCTTACTCGCAGCTGCCATAGGGCATCCCGATAAACTCCTGTGACTGTTTCTACTCGTGTTGATGTGTCCACGTCCATTGCAACCCGGTGTAGGGCATTTCAATATGGTTTCATGCATCGCCAGAACTTCATCGTCAGCAAGCAACAGATCGTTTTTTTTAAACCATTAGTTATCACACCTTTGTCATTATTATTATTATTAGTTTTTTTTATCATGCTCTTCTTATCATTTGAATTTTTTTTAAATAAAAAAAAATTTAAAAAAAAAAATTATCGTCGGGTAGAGAGTAACTATTACGTAATATAAATTTTTTCAAAGGTATAATGATGACGTAACAAAAAAAAATTTTTTCCCCGTTTTGTACATACAATAATAATAATAATAATAATAATAATATTATAATTATCAAAGGTGTGACAAAAAAAAAAAAAAAATCATCATGGTAACTCTGTTGCGTGCTTGCGTGAAGTCGTTATGAAGAAATCAGGTTTAAAAAACATAAAAAAAATTAATAAACAAAAATAAATAAAAAATAAAATAAATAAATAAATAATAATTAAATAAAATAAATAAATAAATAATAAATAAATATTAAATAAATAAAAACGAACACGTATGAATTTTTTTTTGTTTTAAATTTAAAAACGTGAAAAAAAAATAAAATAAATAATAATTTGCTCTCTACCCTTTAAATAACTAAAAAAAAAAAAAAAACAAAATTCTAATTCTAAAACGAGCAAATACATTATTAAAATGATAATAATAATAATGATAATAATGATAATGATGATAATGATAATAATAAACACGATGAAATAATGCTTTACTAAAAAAAAGGAGGAAAATCGTGTGCAAAGTTACTTGATAATAAATCCTTTATTATTATTATTATTTTCACGTTTCTAACGATAATAATAATTATTGATTTGTCACGTGGTAGTAAAGCAAAATTCCAATAAAAAAAAAATGATTCAAAAGCACAAATAATGAATAAAATAAAGTGAGAGAGAGAGAATGAGATAAACTTACTTTCCGGAGTGACTTTATCCTTTCTCGGACAACCGGATAAACTCCTGTGATGAGTGTAAAGTCCAGTGGAATGTCCCAAACCGTTACAACCTGGAGTCGGACATTTATTACCATCTGGAAAAAAAATAAAAAAAGTTTAAAAAAAAAAAAAAAAAAGCAATTCGAAAAATAAAATATGCACATTTACTTTTAAATAAAGTGTTATTTTGCAATATTCGTTCGTCAATGTTTGTCATTATTATTATTATTATAAAATTCGAATTCGGTCTTTATAAAATCACTTGAAAAAAAAATCATTTCCGGTCAAAATGACAACAAACAACTCTTTCGAGACAAAAATACGACAACGCGAAATATATACAAAATGATAAAATACACAAAAAGAGAAAATAAATTGAAACTCTTTTTGTAAAAGAGACAGAAAAAAAGGAAAAGGATGAAAAAGTAGTAATGAAAAAGGACAAAAAGAAAAAAAGGAAAAAAAAGGTTCTTTTTACATTTTATACAATTGTTAAAATTAGAAAATACCTTAAAAGAGAAAAAAGTTTTCAACAAAAACAAAAAAAAAGGAAAAAGGAATGAAAAATTTTAAAGAGAAGAGAGAGAGAGGAAGTGAAAAGTAGAAATGGCGGTTAAGGGAGTAAAGAAAGAAAGAAAGAAATAGGATGAAAAAAAAACAAAAGGAGTGAGATAGAGATAGATAGAGAGATGGAAAAGCGAGTTTTTTTTTTTTAAATAAGAAATTTTTGATGGAGAACAAACATATATTCTGCTGAAGTCTGTTTAAGAGAAGGAAGAGGAGGGTGAGGGTGAGGGGGTGAAGAGGGAGAGTAGGAACACACTAAAAAAGTTTTTATTTAATTATTTGTTCAATTAGAAATTGAAATATTTACAAAGTGTAAGAGAGAGAGAGAGAGAAAAGAAAATCAAATACGTGTCTCCAGACTCAGCAAATTACAAATGTGCATTACTTATAAAGAAAAAACAAACAATTCCTAAAGATAAACTTTTATGGCGACGAACTTTTCCTTCTAACCGGAACATCATCATTATTATCATCATCATCATTATCAAATAAACATATACCGGAAAATAATTTTTTTGGATAATTAAAACCGAGAAAAAAAAAAAGAAAAGTTTCAGGAAAGAAAAGAAATTAATTAAAAATAAATAAATAAAATCGTCACGACGTGACGTCATTACCACGTGACGTATTAGGTATTTGAACCGAAAAAATTGTTAATAACTCCCAAAGGTTAGTTTTTGAGAAATTTTTTTTTTTTTTTATTGATCCCTTGACTGTTTATAAGGCCTCCTCCTCCCAGACAATTGGAAAATACCCAATCGGAAAAATTATTATCGGGAGTAAAAAAAAAAAAAAAAATTAAATTAAAATACGTGACGCCATTATTAAATAAAAAAAAGAAAATGGACGACGGGAAACAAAAAAAAGAAATTTTTTTTTTTTTAAGGGGTTGGACAACCTGAAGGATTTAATAGACAGATTTATGTCACTTGTGGGATGACTAGATCAAACGATCCAAAACTAAATTTTTTATTATTATTATTATTTTTTTCTTAAACGTCTTCTGCTTTTCCTTTTTCTTCTGCTTTTTTCCTTCTGTTTCCGCTTGTGTATTTTTCCAAAAGAAAACGGCACGACGACGACGATGATGATGAGAGAAAATGATTTATTTAAACATAATATAAAATAATTTTACCTTTTTCACGGTGAAAAATTCTTTCTCCGCTCGTAATAATAATAATAATAATAATAATAATAATAATAATAATTATCATCATCATCATCATCATTTATAATTTCGCTGAATAACTAAATTAATAATAAATATTGAGTCAATCGGTTCAAAACCCTTTTGTAAACGATAAAATGTAAACAGAAGTAGCAATTTACCCCCCGAAAAAGTGGCGATGAGAAAGAGGTTTCGGGTCATGATTGTTGGGCTGGAGCCGGAGGGGGGGAAGAAGAAGGAGGGAAGGGTAAAAAGGAACAAAGGTGAAGAAAGCAGAAGAAGGAGGAGGAGGAGGAGGATGAATATTTTCTCCAGAGGCCGTTCACGGCCTTATTTTATATTTTTCTTATTACTACTACTACCAAATGAAAAGGTTTCGAAAATAGGGAGAGAAAGAGAAAGAAAGAGAGAGAGAGAGGAAGAGAGAGAGAGAGAGAGAAATAAGACAAAAATTTTCTTTTGGCCATTTCATTTAAGATAAAGGTCAACCTGTTAATTTTCATGTCAAACCCTTATTTCTTAACAACCGCATGTCGTCGTTTGTCAACAACAACCCTTTATTGTTTTCTTTTTTTTTTTAATTTTAATTTATTTAATGTTATTATTATTATTATCATCATCATCATCATCATCATTATTATTTATTAGTCCCTTTCTCTTGTCGTTTTCGTCGTTCTTTTGAAATTTTTTTTGTATGTTTTAAGGAAAATTTTTTTTTTTTTCTTTTCGAAAAGTTGATATTAGAAAAACTTAACGTGATGATGATGATGATGATAATAATAATAATAATAATAATAGTTAGAAAACTTTTTTTTTTTTTTATAAGAAAAAGTCTTGTTCGACGCGGATATTAAATTCGACGTGACGAGATTCTACATGACCGTTAAAAAATTTTCCCGTAGAAAAAAAAAAGGTAAATTCGAATCGTGAGGTAAATTTGAATTCAACCGTTTCGAATGATTTATTTTCTTGATTGATAAAAAAAAAAAAAAAAAACAAAAACCTGTACGTACCTCCTCTACTTAAACTGTTCGGTGACAATGCTGCTATCGGACTGGAAACATCCGTACCGATAACCGATACCTTATCCAAAGTGGCCGAAGATGGTGTCGATGACGAACTTCTTTCCGCGTTCGGTATTGTGCTCGTGACGACTCCGGGATTGCTGCCGCTTCCGCTGCTGCTACTGCTGACCGCAGATACCGATAATACCCCCTCTCTGGCAATGTCTTTCATTACCGTGGCCGCTCTGGAACCTGCTCCAGCGGGTTGTAATATCGTATATTGCTTTGAATCCGGAGATCCGACGGGAGTTTTACCGTTCACGATACCGTCTTGCCTTTCCAATTCGATTTTTTCCGTTTTCAATTTGATTTCAGGTACCTGCGGACTTTGAACCGTGTTTGCGATCGTAGAATTTGGGTAACCCACGAATGTTGCGCTCGCCGGAAACGGGCCCAACGGTGGTATCGCCGAATTATCTATGTTAACTCTGTTTCTCAGTTCGGGTGAACGAAATGCGGATGATGACGACATTGATAAGCCACTGTTGTTCGTGTTAGAGCTATCGTCGTTGCTGTCGTTGTTACCGATATTATTATTATTATTATTAATACTATTATTATTATTTTTTAAATCGAATGTTTTTGAATTGTAATCCCTTTTATCTTCTCTTTTGATAACGATGTCATTATTATCGGGTATATCTATTTCCAATTCGTTAGACGAATCGTTGACGAGTTCGTTGAAATCGGGTTCGTAACGAGAACCAGCATATTTATCACCGGACCTACCATTTCCGGTTTCTTCTTTTTTCACTACTTTGGCATGCAATAATTTATTGTCTAAATTCCTTTTTGAATCTTTTAAATTTTTAATATCTTGCAATTCTCGAAGGGTTATTATATCTTTCAAAGGATTCGATAGATCTACGTTGTTGGCCGTCGCGGTCGGATTGACCGGAAGTATTTTATTAACTTTTTTCTCTTCGAAAAGATTTTCGAATTGCGGTTGTTCGAATTTATCTTCTTCTTTTGGTCCTGTGTAACTTCCCGAAAGACTTTTTAACGCCGCTTCTGTTTCCCTGATTAATATTTCGTCATCTTCGACTGATGACGTAGTTGTAGTCGTAGTCGCAGTAGTAGTTGTAGTCGTATTGGTTGTGGTACCACTCGCAGCACTCAATTTACTATTTTTCCTCGTCGGACTCCTGCTTGGTGACGTGTTTGTCGTTTGCAAAGCTCTTTTCTTTTGTGGCAACAGTGAATTTTTGACACTCGAATCCGGTTCCACTTTCACTTGTAAATCGTCACTGCTATCGGCACACCTTATCGATTTCCGCCTTTTTTTACATAAACTCTGATCTCTCAAATCATCATTATCAACAACTTTAACATCCACCATTGTTTTGAATACTTTACAATTAATCGTTTTCTCTTTTTTATTAACTAATTTTGAACTTTCCAAAGACGACGAAGTTATTTCTATCTGTTTTCTTTTTTTATCAAAAGACACTGGCGGCGTGGATGGACGACTGGATCTGCATAACAAACAAAACAAACAAAAGTTTTAATCATTTAAATTATTATTATTTTTATTTTAATTTTAATCAGAAAATTTAAAAACAGAAAAATGCAAACAAAAAAAATTTCGTTTTCGTTATAATTTTACGTCATCGCGACAACCTGCTGCTGCTGCTGTTGTTGTTTTTGTTTTCTGTTGGTGCTCGTGTGGCAAACAAACAGGTTTGACGACAACTTTGAAGAAGAAAAAGAAAAAAAACTTTTTTTTTTTAAAATAATTTTTTAAAAAGTGTAAAGAAAAGTTTTTTCTTTTTATTTTTTTTACTTCATATTTCAAAAATAATTTTTTTTTCCTCATCATCATCATCATCATCATTATCATCATCATCATCATCATTATTATTATTTGCATTAAAGATTAAAATAGCACAAAAAAAGAGAGAGAGGCAGAAAAAGAAAAAGTTGCAGAGTTTAATAAAAAAAAAAAAAATCTAAAAATTCAACAGGAATTTTTTTTTTTGGGGAGGGGGGAAAAATAGAAATTCTGGAACTAAGTTTTTTTTCATTCATTCATTCATTCATTCATTTATATACATCTTTAATTAAAAAATTTTTTTTTTTTGGAAAAATCACAAACAACATTTTAACGAAAAAGTAAAGTTTTTCACTTCGCCCTTCCCCCTTTTTTTTTATTTTATCGTTTTCTTCCAAAATTATGAGGACTAGTGGAGGAGTTAGTTTTCGAAATAAAATCATAAAAATAATTGTGATAAACTAGTAAAAAGAACAAGATAAAAGCATTTGAAAATTAAAAAAAAAAAAAAAAGGAAGAAAAAAAAAGAAAAAGAAAGAAAAAGAAAAAAAGAAAGAATGGAAAATTCTACGAGATATGACAAAAGACAAAGAAACTGTTTTTTTTTCCTTTTTTCCTTTTTTTTGGAAGTTGGATGGATACGTAGAGAAAAATAAAATGTAAAGATTAGTCTTTTCAAGAGGAATGAAAGATAAAAAAGATGTGAGAGAGAAAGAGAGAGAGAGAGAGAGGAAAAGTGAATGAAAGGAAAACCAGAGGCCGACAACACACGAATGATTTTCTAAAGAAATTTTTTTACAAAATTTATTTAGTAGTTATTGAGAACGAAAAATCCTTTTTTTTTTAAGTCGTGTCACTAGACAAATTAAAAAAAAAATTATTATTATTATTATTATTATTATTTCCTTTAAGTAAGAATTTTTTTTTTTTTGAAAAATTTAAATTTTTTTAATTAAAATCGTAATTTTTATTGATTAAAAACTTTTTAAATTGTTTTATCCCCCCAAAAAAAAAGGTCGATGATAATAATAATAAAAAGGTTTTTTGAAGGATAATTATTATAATTATTATTATTATTATCAGAGGTAAAAAAAAAAAATTTATCCGGTTTCGATTTTTATTTCGAATCGAAATTTTCTTTTTTTAAAAAAAAAAAAAAAAAGTGAAATAGGGAAAAGATGATTGTGAGGTTGAGGAGGGTTGTTAAGGGGGAGGAATGAGGGAGGGAAGGGATTCCCCTCCCTCTCTCTCTCCTTCTCTCTTATTAACGAAATAATTTTTTTTTTTCGATAAAAAAGTTACGAAGAAGATGGAGGAAGGAAGGAAGGTTTGAAAAAAAAAAAAAAAAATTTAATTGATCTTTTTTTTTTAAAACGAACTCGAGAAACTTCCGTTTCCTTCGTCTCTTCTTTCCCCTCCCCCTCCCATTTCGGTGATCTCAAACGTTAACTCCTCCTTCGCATTTTAGTTTAAAAGTTTAAAGTTTTTTTTTTTTTTACACTCTGGAAAAGAGTGTTTTGTAAGAATGATAACTGGATGGATGATAATCCATCCTGGATTTAAAGAGAATTCACTGAGAGAGACTTTTAAGAATGGACCTTATCAATGAATCCCACATCCGAAAGGATCATAAGCCCGCTCAGTTGTTGATAATTGTTTTATGACACTAGAATTCCGTTAATTTTCACTCCTCGTTTTATAAATTATTATTATTATTATTAAAGAAGAGAGAATTTAAAAAAAAAAAAAAATACTTTTTCGAATCAGTTGACGACGACGACGACGACTTTTCATTCGTTTAAAAAAAAAAACCGGATGTGACGTCATAAGAATTTATTTTAAAAAAAATATAAATATGGATGGGAAGAAGAAAAATCAAAAAGATTGAAATGAATTTATAAAAAAAAATAATAAATTGAGATTTTCGACGAGTCGAATGCCACCACCACCACCATCATCACCATCACCGTCGGCAGCCCTGTTTAAAAGATAAAAGAAAAAAGGGGTTTTCTTTCTTTCTTTCTTTCTTTTTTTTTGTGACATTATTATGGGAAATAGTAATTTTCTACTATGTATTCAAAACGTAAAGCATCACAAATTAAGACTTCTTTTGACAAAGAATAAAAGAGGCCCCCTAAATTAACATCTTCGCACTTTTCGTCATTTCTATTTTCATTTTACCAAAACTCTTTTTTTTTTGTTTCTTTTTCTCTTTTTTTCCCATTCTTTCTTTCCTTTTACCATCTCTCTCTCTCTCTCTCTCTCTCTCTCTTCATTACTTCGTTTCTTAGTTTTTTTTTGTTAAATAACCTCAAACGTAATTTTCATTTTATTTCTATAAAATAAAAAAATTTTCAATCTACGACCTTTTAAATATTTTCTCCTTTTTCACGCCCCCTTCCCCCTTCCTTTCACCCCCGTAGAGACGACAATTTGTTTTCAACGAAAACGTTTTTTAATCTTTCGATTTTGACCTTTTCTCTCTCTTTCCTTTCGATTCGAACCCCAAAAATTCGTCTTGTTTTTCTTCCCTTTTTTAATTATTGAGACCTTTTTAAATAATTTATCGATTTTGACATCATTGCACACGCACTTACATACAATCACACAAAGGCATATAAATATTTAATAAACAAATAAAGAAAAAAAAAACAAACAATTTAATTTGCAACAGGTATTACGTAAAATAAAATAAAATCCGTGTTTTATTCATTCACAAAGGTAATCATCATCATCATCTCGTTAAAACGAGAGAAAACTCGTAAATATTATCAAATTATTATCACATAAAAAAACAAAAAAAAAACAAAAAAAACATTAAATGAAACGTTTATTTTATTTTTATCATATATAAATAAAATTCAATTTAAATTCTTACACTTTTTTTCCTTCCACATATATAAACATGCGTGAGCGAGTGCGCGTTCAGAAAATTAACTAAAAGATTTTTAACCGTAAGTGTTTTTTTTTTTTTTTTTTTTGTTTTCGTCTGTAAATTACAAAGTCAGCCATGTCTTTTTTTGTGTGCGACTCAAATGGCGGCAACAAGACGAATGATTTTGGCTTTTATTCACATTTTAACTAAATATTCTCATTAAATGTTTTCATTCCCTCGTTTATTATCATTATTATTATTATTTTTCTTCCTTAAACGTTTTCACTTACAACATTTATCTAAATTTTTCCTTCAACATTTTCCCACTTTCTCACCCCCTCTCTCTATCTTTCTCTCTCTTTCTAATTATTTTCAAATCGGTTTAATTTGCACCATTTTTAATTTTTTTTTTTTTTTTATTTTACGCATCGCGTGAAATTTTTCTTTTTTTTTTCTTTTTAATTAGGAGGCTTTTACGTGAGTGAATATTAATAATAATAATCATATTTTTTTTCTTCTTTTTTTTTTTTTATCCCTTTTTTTTATTATTCCCGTTTTTTCCCGTTTTTCCCGTTTAAAAAAAAATCATTTATTGTACCTTGATTGAATGTCAACAACAAACAAAAGTCAATCGATCAAATTCGATTAAAAAAGAAAAAAAAAAGGAAAAAAAAAATTTTTTTCGTGGGAACTTTTTTTTTTTTTTGTGGGGGGAGGGATCATATTAGGATAAGAAAGAAAAAGAAGAAAAAAAATTGGGGGGAAAAGGGATCATCAACAGAAAAAAAAAAAAAAATCGAATCCTCTTAAAATATTTACCAATCTTTTTTTTTTTCACATAAAAAAAAAGGGGGCGGAAATTTCCTTTTTTTTTCCTTTGAAACGATTATTCACTGTTAAACCTTTTTTTTTTATTTATTTATTTATATCGTCACGGAATTTTTTTTTCCTTTGATTCTTTGATCGAAACCCTTTTTTTTTCGTTTCGGCTGTGGATAGGGGATGAAAAGTTTACATTTAAATAAAATAAAATAATTATTTATTACGTAATTTAAGTTTAAAAGGTAACTTTTATTATTATTATTATTCGACCGAGTTTTTTTTTTTTTAAATTTCTTTCCTTTGTTTCCTTTGATGTCGCAATGTTGAGAATATAATAATAAATAAAGAGGGTTTATTATACTTGAATTTAAACGATAAAAATTTTTTTTAAAGTGGTATTTAAAACAAGAAGAGATGAGATAACCATAAATGTCTTCTGCTCTCTCTCTCTCTCTCACTCTCATTATTTTGCCTAAAGCTTTCGATTAAGTTCACCGAGACTTGTTTGCGGTATTTTCATCGTGTATTTGATAAGTGGGGAGGGGGCGGAAATAAACCGTTTTAATACGCCACCGCCGCCATCATCATCATCATTTACTTTTTTTTTTTTTGGGGAGGGGATATCGCACGATAAAAACGTAATAATAATAATAATAATAATGATTGTTTGTTTTTAAAGTACAAAAAAAAAAAAAATTAAATTTAAATTTTAACGTTGATATTATTAGGGAAAAAAAACCCGCGCGTAAAAACGTGATCAGAAATTTTTGCGACAGAAAAACCAAAAAAAAAAAAATTTTTATTCACCTCGACAACAACTTGGGTGACGTAACGCAAAACCTTTTCCCCCCATTTTTTTCACCCCCTCCGTTAGTAAAATACTCTGAAAACACACCCCTCACGTGAAATTATTTTTTTTTTTATAAAAAAAAAAAAAAATTCTTTGTCGCTCGTCGTTGTTAATGCGAGTTTAAATGCTTTTCACAAAAGAGAGAGAGAGAAAGAAAAAAAAAGAAAAAGAGAGAGAAAGAGAGAAAGAGGAAGAAAATTTTTTTTTTTTTTTAACTCGGGGAAAAATGTCGAAGAGAGAGAGAAAAGAAAGAAATTCGTGACTCGTAAAAAAAAAGGGCAAAATTAAACCTG